GCTTTTTAGTTAATACAGAACAAATAGCATTAGCCATTGAGAGGTCATTATCTGTTAGAATGGTTCGTAGCGTAGTGAAGCATGTAAGGTTGGATTTTTTTATAATGAAAGAATGGGTATTGAAAGTGACAATCTATGTAAAAATATAAAGACAATATTAATAACATTGATAAAAGGAGTGAAATCATTGGTGAAAAAATGACAACTGATTCAAGAGTGAACGGTCAATATGAATCACAGTGACAGAACATATAATCTTGAAATTTACGAAAATAGTGAAATTGATGATAAAATAGCTTTTGAACAGTATACAAAATTAACAGAACTGGGTAATAGTAATGTAACAAATGTAGAAAAGGATGAAAATAAGGTGCCCAGTTATTATCAAAAATCAACTAAACAAGCAATGCATGTGAAATATATAGTCCGGAATACTGTTATTATGGCCAAGTAGATGTGTAAAGAGGCTTTCGGATGCTATGATAAATCAACTGAATTGGGTTACGCTGAAGGAATATCTGATGATATAAATCATACTAATATAACGCATAAAATTAAATACTGTAATTTAAATAGAATTTGAATTAAAAAGACAAACATATAGCATTAGCTGATTGTCAAAAATTTACTGATAAGGGTTACGCAATTAGAATAAATGTAGTTAAAAAATTGTTATATGAATAGAATTGGAGTTGGTAAAGATAAGTATAAGCTTAACCATTGCTATGAAAATAGAACCAGTGAAGATAATCTTGGAATTTGTCGGATAAAAATAATGCGTTCAAGTATTGTCAACCTTAAGAGGCAGATGATGAAAATTATGTAATGAAAGATGTGTTGAGAGAACATGAAATTATAAGTGAAATGCTTAACAAGAAAAGAGGCCATGATATAGATAATGCTGTAGAGATAGAATATATTAATGGAGAATGTGATCCAAGGTTTATAAAGATGAGTTATATTACTGGAATAAGGTAGCTACGCAATGCTGTTATACAAAACCAGGAACGTAAATTTATAAATGTGCCAAAATTGTTTATACAGCACAGGTGGCTTTTTCAGACTGATCCTAATAACTGATAAAAAATAACATATTAAATTTATAAGATACTAGTGTATTAGGTAGCACTTGGTATCACCTCTTTTTAGTAATTAAAAATAAAAATTGATACTGAAGATTTTGAAATAACTCTTAAGGGTAAAATTACTAAA